TGTCGGTCATTTTGTGGGTGATATGCTGAGCTGTGTTTCAATTTTGCCCAGTAATTTAAAAAGTTCAGCCCAAAAATTACTCAAGAACACCTTGTCACAATCGGATACAATGGAACGGGGAATCCCGTGTAATTTCACAACTTCCTTAGTAAAGGTTGCAGCGACCTCTGGAGCTGAGAATGGATGTTTCAATCCTATAAAATGAGCATACTTGCTTAAGCGGTCCACCACTACCAAGATTGAATTGAACCCTTGTGATCGGGGTAGTCCTTCCACAAAATCCATTAAAATGTCTTCCCAAATCTTATCGGGGACTGGCAATGGTTGAAGTAGCCCTGCCGGAGCCAAAGTAGAATATTTATGCTGTTGGCAGATTGCACAAGCAACCACATATGCATGAATATCTCTTCTCATACCCTTCCAGAAGAAGGTTTTTGCCACTCTTCTATATGTCTTCAAGAAGCCACCATGATCCCCAACCTTACTATCATGCCCTTCCTGTAACGCCATCTGGACCCATAAAGAAGACTTGGGCAACACCGACCTATTATTGTATAGCAAGTGTCCTTGCACCAGAGAATACCCCGGCGGAGTGGAATGTCCATCCCGCAAGGAGGAGATCAATGCCCCTAGCTCTTCATCTTCTTCAACGGCCTTCTTGACCATGTCCAGCGCAAGGGTGCTAGGCACACTCATAGCCATGATAGTTGCCGTAGCATCTACCCTTGATAGTGCATCGGCCATCTTGTTCTCTGCTCCAGCTTTGTACTCTATAACAAAATCATACCCCAAAAGTTTGGTCAACCATTTTTGATATTCCTGATTTACTTCTCGTTGCTCTAATAGGAATTTCAGACTTCGTTGGTTGGTTCGTACAATGAATTTGCGTCCCAACAAATAATGCCTCCACCGTTGTATGGCCAGCACAATTGCCATAAGCTCTCTTTCATAAATTGACTTGCTTCTAACCCGCTGGGGTAGTACATGGTTGAAGTATGCAATCGGTCTCCGATCTTGCATGAGGACCGCTCCTAACCCATACCCCGAAGCGTCGGTCTCTACGACGAGTGGCTTTGTAAAGTCAGGAAGCCCCAAGACTGGTGCAGTTGTCATGGCTATTTTTAGCTTTAAAAATGCCTCTTCTGCCTCTTCGTTCCACCCAAAACTGTCTTTCTTTAGTTGCTGTGTTAATGGCCATGCTATAGTTCCATATGCCTTCACGAATCGACGATAATACCTTGTTAATCCAAGAAATCCCCGTAACTCCTAAATGGACTTGGGTTTGGCCAATCCTTTATGGTTGAAATCTTTGATTCATCTGCCGCCACCCCTTCGGCTGAAATAATATGCCTAATTAATCATAAGGCAACCATGAATAGAAATCTTGAAGGTGTGGAAATGCAACATGAAGGCACAACCAAAGAAGAAGAGATGTTGAAAGCCCTAGTTTTTCCTTCACTGGAGGTTTTTGAACGAGGAACTCCATTGGAAAACAAGTCGGAGAATATGACCGCATAGAAGAACAAATGGGTGGAATGTTGGAACCAGAATTGCCGTCGCTAAAGGAGTAGAAAAAGATGAAGACAACGAGGAAGAGAAATATATGAATGGGTTGATAATTAGGGTTGAAATTCAAATGGTGAAACCTATGGGCCAGGTTTTGGGGATGGCCTAACAAGTGGCCTGCATCGATTTACTTAATCAAGCCCTAGGTGTAATGGGCCTAAATGAAAAAAAGGGAGAGAGCCCAATGCGTTCAATACCCAAATTCACAATTGTTATTCAGCAAGAGCTGCAATTGAAGAGTGAAAAGGGGTTAAAACCCCAAGGTGATGTAAAATACTTTAGTGGCCGAAGATTTACTCCAATCTACTTAGTTCTGTACACAAAAGTTTTGTGGGCGGGTACGATAGGATATGGAGTTTGCTTGGGCACTATATTAAAGGTTCATCCAAGTAGCTACAATCATATTCTAGAACTTGAGGAGTCAACCGCAACAATCAGATCCAAATCCAAATAACAGCTGGTATTACCAAACATGGTAGTAGCAAGTCGGTTGCAATAGAGAAGCCTCTCCCGCAGCATCAATAATTGAGCTATCATCTGTAGATTTCATCACATCAATTTTAGGAACTTTTTGGTTCCTATCAAATGGATTTGGTCTCTAACCTATCAAAGAGGGTGTCCCGATATTCCAAATACATCATAAGGCTCTCCATGCACTATTCAATTTGTGCAAGAAGAATAAACGAGCAGAAAAAACAGAATTACTCAGATTCTATTTTAAAGTGGAATGTGAAACCCGAGTAGGCCTTCAGAATATGCGATTGCCAATTCCCTGCACGACAAACTCCGGGGCATAAAAGTACTAATTAAATGAAAAAGACTACTTGACTTTTGTACTTCCAGGGAACCAACTTCATCAATTATTCAACATTTTCCTTATTTGATTTCCACCTTGATAACAAGGTGTCTTATGAACCTGGGGTATTGACAAGCCTCCAATTCTAGAAGAGTCCGGAAGACTTGAGGAGAGGCAAGGACAGATTCAATTAGAAGGGCAAGTGGGGAGGGGAATTAGCTATAAATAAAGGTAGAACAGAGGGTAGAAGGAAGATTTTATGTAGTGAGAAGACCCCAAAAGAGTTTAGCCCTCTCGAATGGCTACTATTTCTTTTTCAGTTTTGTAATTTTCTTTAGTTTTCATCAATCAAATAGTAGTTTATTCTTTGGTTTTGATTGTGTTCTCAAAATACAGTTAGAACTTTAACTATTAAAGATGTATAAGATCATAACTCATGGAAGAAGTAATAGCTGTAGTGAAGAAGCAACTTAAGGACATAACAGGAGCTGTGTGGGAAAGGATTGAGAAGATGCTTCAGAAATTAGATGAAGACAAACTCGCAAAGATATCCAAATCGAAGGGAAGAGGCTCAAGCGAAATTGTCCTTTGGATAACTCTATTATTGTTATTACATCGCAAGGCAAGTATAGGAAATTTGTGAGCTGCTAACATTATTTGCATTGCGATGCAAGCAATACAAAATGTTTGTATTCCACGGTGAATATTAGGGGGATTGGCTATTTATGACTGAGAAGTTCTTCACAATGAATTGAATTCTAAAATAGGAAAGATTGGATGTGACGATGATTTTCTTTGATAGTGAAGTATTGATCTGGTACCTTGTTTGATTTGAGATTGGCTAAAATTAAAATCGCTTTTGCTTGAGGGAATTATTGATTCGTGACCACAGGTTTATTTAGAAACTTCAGCAACATCTTCACTTGATTTTTCATATGAAAGACCTTGATTAACTTACTTTCTTGGTTTAGAGGTATATACTACATCACATGGTATCTTATTGAATCAACATAAATATATTCAAGACTTGATTGGGTTTGCTGATCTATCTGAAGCCTTCTGGATTGATACGCCGTTTGAGCTTAATGTTAAATATCGAAGAGACGAAGGAGATATTCTTCTAGATCCTATTCTTTATCGGAAGTTGGTCGGTAGTTTTATCCATCTCACTATCACACGTCCGGATATTTCCTTTGCAGTTCATACTGTAAGTTCGTTGATGGACACCTTTCATCATCTTCATTTGGTAGTTGTTTGTCGCATTATTCGTTATCTTTTTGGAACTCCTCATCGTGGTCTCTTCTTTTCTTGGGGGTTGTCTCTTGAGCACACAGCTTATAGTGATTCTGACTGAGTTGGTTGTTTGATTTTTGTCGATCTATTGCTGGCAGATGTATTTTTATTGGTGATGCTCTCATTTCTTGGAAATATAAGAAACAAGACTGTGTTTCTAAGTCCTCCACTGAGGCTGAATACCGAGTTATGTTCGCTGCATGTTCTGAGGTTGTGTGGTCTTCTTGCAGAACTTGGTATCTCTCGATCATAGCTTACGCCTCCTCATGGTGACAACGCTAGTGCTAATTAGATTGCGGCCAATCTTGTGTACCATAATTGAACTAAATATATCGAAGTAGACTGTTATTATATTTGTGATGCCTATGATTCTAAGGTCATTGCTCTTCCCTATGCTTCCACTTCTCACCAAGTTGCAAATGTCTTCACCAAATCTCTAACTCAGGACCGTCATTATCTCGTATCGAATTGATGCTTGTGGACTCACCACCATCAATTTGAGGGGGTTATTAGCATGCATTATTAGATGTTTATTATTTACTCATAACAAATTAGGTAGTTTCCTTGTATATTTAGCTATTTTTCATGTATAATTTGTATCTTAAAATAACTTGTAACATTTTATAAATGCAAAGGAATATAGAAAAGAAAGTTATTCCACAAAATACTATCATTTAGGACTTCTACTAATTTAAGAAATTCCAATCAAAATATGAGATCTTGGTAACTTTTAATATGGTACCAGTTCTGTTGGACAAAATAATTAGAATTCAATTAATTACCCTCGCTAATTTGTCTTATTGACTTGACTTACTAGATTAAAGTATATTGTTCTCTTACTTCACTTACTTTTTCTCTCATGTAGTAACATGTGTAATTCCTTTAGTGCTAATATTTTCTTTTCATACTCGCAGTAGTATATCATCATATCTAGTTTGATTTTCTGTTACTTACAAAAATCCCTACTTTTCCTAATTTTAATGACTCTACAAAATGCTTCTTTGTGTGAAGGTAATTAGCCTTGTGATTTTGAAATTTCAGTAGACATATTTTGCACGGATGCTCATGCTTGTCTAATTTTCACTTTAGCCCCTATTTGAGCCACATTTTTACCTCATTAAAATGAAAAATATGACCGTTATTCATCACATTAAGCCACCATTTTTGAATTTCTATCTCTGGTGTGGGGCCCATAACGGCTTTATTTCTCATTCTCATTATAATGTGGCTCAAACAGGCTCTTAATATGTTTATGTGGAAGTTTGCCATATTTTGTTGATTCCGAAATTATTACCTGTGATGTGTATTAGATCTCTGATATGTGTTCAGTGTATGTATGATACAGTGAAATAGTTAATCAATCATGGTCAAGGGAAGCACGTTGCCTTTCAAAGTTGGACAGTTAGCTGAGGCAAGGACTTTTGAGAAGGGTATCTTGGTGCATGGTTTCGATGCAAGGTATTATTAAGTGTGAAGTCTAATAAATATGCTTAAGAAATATGTCAAATATTTTGTCTAGTAATGTTTGCTGTAAACATTGTTATAAGAGTTGGACTAGTCAGCCCGTGACGAGTAAACGGCTAGCAACTTGGTCCCGTTGAATCTATTTGACTTGGTAACAATGGGAGCCATAAATCTGTTCAAGTTTCTAATAAGAATTGGTGACTTGCTTTGAAAAAATCAAATAAGCTAGAATATTGTAGTTAAGGTGTGAACATTCTATAGCATGCTTAACATTCTTCCTTGATACCTCAACCTTTGTGCCGACTTGTTGGTCTTTGTTAGATAATAAATTGAAAATTTTTCCTTATTTTTCAATCACTCATTTTTAAAAAGAAAGTACTATTTCACCTATTTTCATTTTCATAAAATTGGGGCCAAACGGGGGCTTATAATTATTATAGCCTCTAATCTATGACACCCTTGTGATTGCTCCATCTTACATATCCTTGGCATAAAATTGGGGCCAAACGGGGGCTTATAATTATTATAGCCTCTAATCTATGACACCCTTGTGATTGCTCCATCTTACATATCCTTGGCATCGTTCATCGTGGACTAAAACTATTGCTCCACTAAAGTAGATCAATATTTGTTATTTGAGTTATAGCCTCTAATTTATGACACTCTCGTGATTGCTCTATCTTACATATCTTTGGCATCGTTCATTGTGGACTAAAACTATTGCCTTGCTAAGTAGATCAATAATTGTTATTCGAGTTATATTCATGTCTGGAATAGGCATGCTCATATTTCTAAAACACATGGATTTGTCTTTAGACTTTCTTTGTTGCCCAGACCTAAAGAAGCTTTCTGAAGAGAAACAAGAATTTTTGGATTTCTTGATGAAATTAACGGCCCCTATTACAATCTACTGATATTTCACAAGATGAAAGAAAAGGAAAAATAATCTGCTAAGAAAGGAAACAAATAATCCTACCAATTATTAACATTACAATATCTAATTATTTACATTTTCCATTCCCAGTTGTTTCTATTCTAGATTTCCTACACTCTCCCTAGAGTTGAACCGTAGATGTTGAATATGTTCAACTTGTGATTGAGGTTGTTGAAAATTTGTTTAGATAATCTTTTGGTGAAGATATCTGCTATTTGCTCTTGTGGACATGTCATACAAATAATTTCGTTGCCCACCTTTTTTTGTTGATAAAATATCCGTCCATTTCCACATGTTTGGTTCTATCATGTTATATTGCGTTGAGTGAGATGTTGTAGCTATTTTGTTACTACAATAGAGTTTGATAGGAAATTTTACTCGACTTTTAGTTCTTCCAAGAGTTTCTTTATCCATAATCTCTCACATATTCCTTGTGTGACAACTTTAAATTCAGCTTCAATGCTTCTTCACGCTACTATAGACTATTTCTTGCTTCTCGAAGTTACCAATTTTCCCTATACAAATGTGCAATAGGCTGTAGTCTGTTGCTTGAACTTTCCAAAAATGGAGAAGTATTCGTGTCGACACGACATAACATGGATACTGACATGGGATATGGATCAGATCTTTCGTTTTACACTTGGACACGACTAGAAGAAGACGGAAGGTGTCTTCTCTGGAGGCTGAAAAATTTGCAGAGAAAGAGAGATTTGGGGAAGACAATGAATTAGGGAAGACGATGAGTTTTAGAGGGGTTAAATGAGCCTTTGAGAAGTCCAATGGATAGAATTAATGAAAGTGTATTAAATGGGCTCTTGTGAAGTCCAATGAATGTGGTTAATGAGTTTATTTTTGTATAATTTAATTTGAGTTTATTTTTATATAATTTTTTTTATTTCTTATATTTTATTTTTATGAACATTTTATGTTGTAATTAAAATGAATTAGTGATATATCTTTTTTTTGCTATTAAATTTAAATTTATTTCTATAATTGTTTTTAAATAACATATAAGACATTGAAATTGATTTTTTTCTTAAATTTTTGGAAAAGAATTTATTTTGACTTTAAATTTAAATTGATTTCGAATTATAATTCAATTGTTTAAATTGATTTTATCGAAGGCGCTGATAAACAAAATAAACTATGAGTCCATTTTTTAACTACTAATATAAGTTAATTTAATATTGTGGTTATTTACTTTATTTGAACCATTTTTTTCTCTTTATTATTTTGGCATTGTTCTATGATTTTTAAAATAAAAAAATTGTAAAAAGTATCATCGTACTCGTATCCAAAATTCGGATTTTTTTTAACCGTATTCCCATATCTTAACTTTTATAATGAGGAGGGTCCGAATCCTAGATATATACCCGTATCTGATCCCCGCACTCGAGTCAGAGCATCATAGACTATAGTAGATCAATCTTCTGGTGATCTAGCCCATTCTGCGTCCGTGAATATTTTCACTCCTTTCCTTATAACTTTTTCGAAGAATAGTCCTTTCATGGAGGTGCCTTTTAGATATCTGAGGATTTTATACATAGCTTCTAGGTGTGCTTTAGGAGAGTGCATATGTTGACTGCAAAAGCTATGTTAGGTTTTGTGTGTGAGAGACACGTTTACTTTCCAACTAGTTTTTGATACGTCTATTTCTACCGACTTTTCTAAGCCTTTTGGTAATTTTCCTGCCTCAATATGTGTGTTGATATTTGGTTTGCATTCCATCGCATTGTTTCAGTATTTCTTGTTGGGAAGCACTAATACCCTTCTTTGATCTTGCAACTTCCATCTCTAAGAAGTACCACATCTGTCCTAAGTTACTTCAAATTCAGTGGCTAAGCACTTTCAATCTTTCCATTTCAGCTATGTTGTCTTCTATTAGGATTATATCATCTACATATATAAATAGGAGTCTTTGCTCTATTCCTAGATTGTTGGAAGAATATGGTATGATCTAACTTTCCTTGCATTCTACTATCCCATTAGCTTTGTATTTTACGTTAAAGATTCATTTGCAGCCTACAGGTCTTCCTTTCGATAGGTTTTCCACTTCCCAAGTTTCATTTTTTCCCAAGGCTTTCATTTCCTCCATTACTGCCTTTCTCCATTTAGACGATTTCTAAGCTTTCTATATATATGGGATTTCTGTTTTATTAATGTTAGCTGTAAAGGTACGAAATCCTGTAAATAGAGCATTATAAGATATATATATATATATATATATATATATATATATTGAAATAGGGTGGAGAGTACATGATAGAGTTTGTTTTCTGAGAGAAAAAAGTAAATTCTGATCTGGAAATCTAGGATTGTTGGAGGGGTTCTTATCAGGTCCTTTCACTAGTTCCGACTCTCTTGGTGCCTCAGGTGTGAGAGTTTCCTTACGCTTTGATTTTGGCTTTCTTAAATAAACCAGTATCTCCTTGTAACTTTGTTTCCACCATCTCTCTTTAGATTCAAGTTTTCTTCTGTATATGGCATATTAGAAGGGTGGGTGACAGGATTTGTATATGTTAGGTTCGTCGAGGAAAGATTAAAAATTAAAGAATTTCCGATTTAAGAACTAATTTACTTAGATTTTCCGCTTGAAGAGTAGTTTTTGGAAGTAAGGTGTCTTTTCTAGGGTGACATCGAGGCTGACAAAGACCCTTTTGTAGACGGTCATAGCATTTATAGCTTTTTTGAGTATGCAAGTACACAATAAAATAGACATTTGATTGCACATGGCTCAAGTTTGTTTCTATGATGAGAGTGAACGTGCACAAATGTAGTATTTTCAAATACTTTTAAAGGTAGATTTGAACTAAGACGGGAAATAGGAAAGTATTTTTGGAGTTTTTGTATAGGTTAGTTGAAGGGGAGAGTGCGATTGGGCATTCTATTGATGAGATATGTAGAGGTTAGAATAGCACTCCAAAGAGTTTTTTTGACATATTTGTAGTGAACATTAGGGCATGAACAACTTCGAGTAGGTGTTTGTTTTTCGTTCAATAATCCCATTTTGTTGGGAAATGTTGACACATTAACTTTGGTGGACTATCCCGTGTTGTGACGATAATTTTGCAAGGTGGTATTGAAGTATTTTGTGTCATTTGAATGTTTTTGAAATTGGGTTTGAATCATAGAGTGGAAATTTATAAATACTGAATGAACATCAAATTTTCTTTTATTAGTAGGTAAATTTAGCATGCTCGAGTGTGGTCGTCGATAAATGTAGCTAACCATTTGGTTTGGGTACGGTTAGTATTGTGTAAAGGTCTCCATAAATTATTGTGAATTACGGCGAAAGGTTTAGATGGTTTTTATATGGAAGTTGGAAAAGATGTACATTGATGCTTTGCAATTGAAGCTCAATAGATGTTTTATTCATGAAAATAGAAGGTATAACACATTTCAAGTATTGTAAGCTAGGTTGACCCATTTTATTGTGCCATAACAAAAATTCACTATTACTAGGAATAGATGCTAAATTACAACTTAGAAGTTGGCCTAGTTTATTCACATTACCTTTTTCGAAATGGTACAGACCTTTACACTATCTAGCACTATCAATTGTCTTTCCTGATGCAAGGTCCTGAAAGACACAACATGGCATAGAAATTAATAGAGCAATTAGAGTTTGTTGTCAACTGACTAATAGATAACAAGTCACAAGATAATTTTTGGACGTAGAGGACATATTCCAGTGTTATGGACTTAGAGATTCGAATAATTCCTTTCCCTGCAATAAATAAGAGTGAGCCATCTGCAATTTTCGCTTTAATATTTCTAGCACAGGTTGCGAGTCTGTCGTGATCAAACACATCGGAGTCAAAATCCAGGTGGTTCTATATTGTGAGGTGCTTAATGCTTTAAGAAAGTTAATTTGGTGAGCTAGTGAGTTAGAAAGACCTTTAAGGAAAAGACTGTCCAGATGTTTGATGACTTGAGAACATTTGATGGAGTTGCTCTAGTTGTTTAGAATTGAAAGCACTGCTTGGAGTTGAATTATTTTTAGTCTCAGCTTGGTACCCTGACTTCTACTGTTTTGCCTTGGTTTCTAATCGATGGGTTTTCGATGAAATTTTCAGCACGTGTCTTCTCTATATCCTGGCTCGCGACAATGCTCACACCATGGTCGTTCTCGTTTTTAAGTAGACTCATTTGTAACTCCTCTTGATGATAAGCCGAGCACTCCTTGTACATTTTTATTGCTGGTCCAAAATTTGTTTCTATTTCAAGCCCACAAATTGATTTGGGGCTAAAACTGGCTGATCCAACTCTTTTGAAATGACCCGTTATTGGGCAGACCTTAGTTGGCCCATTTTCTTTATATATAATATTGAGGCCCAATCAATAGCCCACTTCCTTTAACTGCCAAAGCTGGTAGTTCATTGAACCTAGAGTCCTCCAACATGATCTGCTGTCTCGATTCTTCTCGCTGTACTTCTACAAATACCTTGTGAGTGGATGACGATGGTCGCCGGCCAAGTATCCTTCCTTTGATACGATGAAGAGAATAAGAATTTCTGTATTTCTTGATGAAATTAATGGCCCCTATTACAATCAACTTATATTACACAAGATGAAAGAAAAAGAAAAAATAATCTGCTAAGAAAGGAAACAAATAATCCTACCAATTATTCTAACTTTACATCATTCTAACTTTATAATCTCTAATTATTTACATTTTTCATTCCCAGTCCTTTCCATTCTTGTTTTCCTACATTTTTATCCCAAGAGCAATGTGATCCCAATAGAACATATTAGGAGCATAAAGGGTTTACAAATGATGATATCATGGTATGGCATAGTCAGGTTTGATTTTAATCAAACTTTCGAAAGACGTAGCAATGGATTGAATGTGTAACCAAAATGAATTCATTAAGCCCGGCCCCAAATTTATTTGTTTTAATGTTTACTACTTTGTTGTATGAACATAACTAATCATATCTATATACCCTAAAATGTCGCAGAATGGAACATAGTGTTGTGACCCGTTCGTGATTTTTAAGTTGGAGGCTAGGTTAACTTATTAAGATTTTCCTTTTGTGGTTAGATTTATTTTTGTTCTATTTGTAATTGTTTTTTCTTTTACTTTATTTGCATATTTAGGGGTTGTTTGAGCCTTACTTTTTTTTTCAACAAATGCATTTTGCAATAGTGTTATGATGGAGAATTTGTGATTGAAAAATAAGGAAAAATTTTGGAATTGCGTGTAATATTATTTTATTAAATAATCTATGGTTGAAATCGGGTCAAATCATTGTTCAAGACTGTATTTTGATTAAAAATGGGGCTGAAACAGGGGCTTAGCGCTTCAAGAGATTGTAGATGGTGGGATTGCCTGTATTGAAATTGAGTGGACGTCCTTCATGTACGATGTCCTTTCAATTTTTGCTAAAACTAGAGTTTTTGGATCTATAAAATTTCTGGTTTCTGCCCTTTCTTTCTTTCTTTTTTTTTTTTTGAAAAGACACAAAGTAGTTGTTTTGGAATGATCTTTTGGTTTTCATCACTTCCATTGTGCCAAAAGCCTTGTGTTAATCTGGCTGCTATTGGATTAGTTGCGCCAATTAAGAAACTGTAAACCTAATGAAAAAGTCAGAAGTCAAGCATAAATATAGATAATGTCAAGCTTTTGCCTGTAATGTTTGATCATAAATCCTAAACATTGGGTCTATTTAATTTCATCAGGGAATAAAGACATTTGGATCACAAGAAATAATCATTGGGGCCATTAAACTTCCATACATGACGATTGATTTAGTGCAGCACTTCATTAATTCTTAATTTGCACCTTGTTGCTTTAACCTTGAGTGTCACCATATACTTCAATTTCAATATAATAATGTAGCCAACCCCCAGAATTCTTTTTTCTTTTTATTTCTTATTTTTAATTTCTTGATTTATTGCAAGTAGTCAAAGTTCTAATATGTAATATTGCAAACTCGCTCTCTTTATGAGAATTGTTAATCCTACAAAGATGCAAAATATTTCTTTTATTTATATATCTTCTCTATTCGTAATCAGATAAGAAAGATTGGCTCAAGAAAAGGGCATATTGGACAAGTCTTCGTAGAATATTTAGACTATGAAGGTCCAGGTAATTCTTTGACTTGGGCTTAATGATTTGGTTATTGTAAATTGTTGAACCACTTGATCAAAAAGTTTAAACTATTATAGAGGACCAAATGTATAATATCTATATGTTGATTTTTCAACGTGCCTCACAAGTGTTGGCATGTGCTTTTATTTCCATCAAAACCTACCATGCACATAATTTCATGAAAATAGTGGTGGAGAAACTTGAACTCATGACCTTTATGTGCACTGATACCATATTAATTTTTGAGGTTCCTTCTTAAAAGGATAATCTTGTTAAGAGAAGGATCCCTACCCATTATATACTTGTTATTTATTTCATATATAACCAATGTGGGCCTTAATATGCCTGCAAGATGGTGACTTGTTTGAGAATACAATTCTAACTGCTCGTTTGACCTTTAGATAGATTGAATAGTTCATGTGAGCTTTTCAGGCTTTAATATCATGTTGAACCATTTGATTTAAAAAAATAAGTTGTGAGGGAGGAACACATATATCATATAAATATTGTCTTCAAAATAACTGGTGCTTCAATATTTAAATTGGTAGGAGATTATGTGGATTTATACTTGAATAAAATGCCAATGTTTTTGATTGTTAGAGTTCATATTCAAAAGTAAATTAATGTTATGATTCGAATAGTGCTTTAGGGTTGATCATGCACGGTTTTCTATATGCACATTTGATGTATAATGAGATTTGTAGTGAAGTACATTGTTATTAAGTTGTTAAATATTTTAATATCTTACATTGAGTGGATGTATGATGCAAGCGTTAGTGAGGAACAGATATATCATACAAATATTGTTTTTAAAAATAAATAGTGCTTCAATGTTTAAATTGATACAATATTATGTGGATTTATACTTGAATAAAATGCCAATGTTTCTTATTATTAGTTTACATTCAAAAGTAAATTAACATTGTCATTGGAATAGTGCATCAGGGTTGAGCATGCATAGTTTTTATATGCACATTAGACGTACATAGAGATTTGTGGTGAAGTACGATGTTATTTAAATTTTTTAGCATCTCACATTGAGTGGATGTATGATGCAAGCTTTAAGCGTAGATGACTACTAAATATCTATTCATTAGAAGATATTGAAAGCTAATCTGCTTAGAAGCTACCTGGGTCAGTTATACACGCAAGGATCAAAGTTTTTGACATTAGATCCCGTGCTTACATTATAATAATGTGTATAAAGCAAAAATTAATTTGGCCACCTAAAGATGAGAACTAATTCCTTAGTTTTTGCTGTCCCTAAAGTTAAATGTATTAAAAAAAAGCATGGTCTTGAGCTGTGCCCGGAAGAAAAAGAAGCACAGAACCACTCTGTAAAACTTGTATTAATCATATGAATTGGAGATCTTTGAAGCAAGAACCTCTACTGGGTTCTGAACAGTTTGGAGATTCTCAGTGCCTTTGAACTATAATTGATTGTGATGCAACCATGGTAATTTTTAGTTCGTTTTCATTGCTTTATTTTTGTAATGAGGTAAAATCCTTTGGAGTAGAGTGATTTTTGAAACTAAGAGTAAGATGACTGACACAAAATTGAAGACCGATTCATTTACTTTTTCATTATCTTTATAATCTATCTTGGCAGTTTTTTCATGTGTTAGATTATTATGTCTGATGCCCTTGCATTATCCACTTCCTCCATTCTCAAAAACTTTTATGTCAGTCTGTTTAGTTATCCCAATATTGTTTTCGTATATGTGTTTTTTGATAGATTTTATTTACGAAATACAACTCCCTCATAGGTTATATTTCACTTGTACTTAATGGCGATGAAGAGGGATTCTTCTCACTAGCTCCCAAGTCATTAATCTGAGATCAACCTAATCAATCCTCTTAAATTATTTATAAAAAAAATGTTCTTGTTTATACTATCTTTCTAGAACTGAATGGTATTATTTGACTACGCATAAATATCTTAGGTGAGATTTGAAAAGGTGAGGATTTGATTAACTTATCATTTTTTCCGTCAAACTAGAGGTCCAGAATCTTTGTTAGTGGTTCATATAGTTTAATGAAAAGTAATTTTGGAAAGGAGATGTCTATTTTAGGAAGGGAGAAATTTTTTCTTGATGACCTAATAAGGTAATGGGATCATTAAATCTAGGATGGTAGGAACATAGTTTCATGATTATGAATTTTCATGATCACGAATATTTGATATTCTCATGTCAAGAAGGCAAATGTATGTCAGAAGCAGAACCCGATTTTCGCTACGTATCTTTTGATTATAATTAGGAGTTCCATGAAGAGGCAAAGTGCATTACCTTTGATTTCATAAGTTACAATCTTGTTTGTAGCATTATTGTGTTTGACTAGAAGCTTCCTTTTGCATGTCTACAGAAAAAGAGTGGGTGAAGCTATACGAGGTACCCATTCATTGCAGTGGAAAGCTGAAAAAGGAACAAAGAATATTGATGTTAAGGCCGCCATACCCACCTGTGTACCATGAAAACCAAATGCCTAATGTCAGTGATATTTCAGAAGTGATGGTAATTTTGGATGATGCGTGGAAGGTGGGAAATTTGGTTGATGGGTTGGATACTGGTTGCTACTGGTCCGGAAGAATAATAGAGTTATCAGGGGATGGCAAGGCTAAGGTAATATTTTAAGTGGTTCTGTCTTCTGCATTGACTGTTGAATTGATAACTTCATTCTCTCACAAGCAGCTAAAATTCAGTTTTAACCGGAGTGTAAACTTGAAGAAAGACTAATCTTGGCATAAGAAAGCTTTTCTTTTCTTGAATTGGTTGCTTTATAGACCAGGTTGAAAATATATAATATTAGCCCATACGATCCCATTATGAGTTCTTTTGCTACTTCCACAATCTATCAAAAAGAACAGACATGATACTCTAATATTTTCTTGTGCTTGTCCATCTAGTTTTGGCCAATCTTTTGTTATCATTTTTCCATTTTCTTGGTTTTTGCTAACTCAAGTATCCTTGAGACACGACAGTTTATTTAATAAGAGAGCCATAGATGTGTTTCTATCTGTAAAGAAAATGATTTCATAGTCTGTCTTTATTTGTCACCAAATATTATTTGGATCAATTCTTCTTCTTTGAAAATTTCTTTGTCAGTTTGGAAGTACTTTCCTTTTCTTGTGCGAGATCTTCATCCTCGTGATGTTCTCAAATTACTCTTGGATATTATAATACCAAATAGTATTATGATTGTTGAGAGAGATTTGATGATAAGTATTTAACTAGAAGGCATGGACACATTGGAAGATGACAAATATTTAATTTTCCTGTCATTCATATTATAAGATTTAACTTTGTGCTAGATTTAATTGTTTGTTCAATTTCATTTTTAGGTAGAGAATTCAGTTCCTCTTCTACTGGTAGTTGTTGAATCACTTGATTTAAAAGCTTAAGTTGATAGAGAAGGTTACATGTATACCATCTAAATCTTGTCTCCAACATGCCCCTCACTTGTTGGCAGGGTTAAAGCTTGACATGTGCACAAAATAATTTAGTGGGTCAAAGGTCACGTGCTTATCATTTAAATATTGTCTTCAACAAGACTAAATAATTTAGCATTCAATTTCCAATATTCATTAGGTTTGAAAGGACACTGGTGCATCACATATCACTTGGTTCAAATCTTCAAATTGAAATCTTATATTCTGTGTGCAGTGAATGATGCTATTCTGTGATTATACTATCTCAGGCTCTTGTAAACTTGTCCTTCCCCCCGTTTTGAAGCAACACTGTTATAACAGTTATTCTTTTTTGTCATTGTGTTTCTTCAGATTAAGTCGCCACCACCACCTATGGGTGAAGGCTTAACTTATGAATTTTCTCTTGAGGATCTACGCCCTTCTTTGGACTGGTCTCCAGAATATGGTTGGACTGTGCTTACTCTGGTTGCTATCTTTACTCTTCTAAATGCATATTGGTGCATATTGTGTCTGATCTTTTTCGCATAGTGAAAACTTGTTCAATCTCGATACTTCTATTCATATATCTTGTATATGATTTTGTTTATATTTCTGCTGAAGAAACTGCCACCACCAGAAAACCAATAATTTTAATTGAAGCAAATGATGCATGAGAAACCCTGGGCCATCTATATCATGTAGTAGCTTCATATGTATTTTTGCTTTTAAATCTTTCATCTCAGTAAATGAAAATAAATCAATTTAAGGTAATAAGATAGAAGTATCTGTAAATCTGTGTTAAAATGGAAGCATGTTGGTTTCTTTTTATTTATTTTTCAAATTTTCAAACTCTAGGATATTAACAATTTTCTTTTGGCTTATAAGTTTTGTGTGGCTGACCGTTTGCTAGAAAGCAGGTGTTTCTTTAATGTAGATCGTTTGATATGCCACCAAGATTACTATGCTAAGGAATCATAAGTTTAAGTCTCGCATTATCATATCTAATTCCATTTGACATCTAAATGACTACTGATGTATTTCTAGCCTTATCTTCATTTCGTTTGTTTCCTCTGCATTCTTCGGTTGAAAACCAACCAGCAAACAAAAATAGCAACTCTTTTTATTAAGTTAAAATGTTCTTATAAAAAAACCTCTACTTATTTCCTTCTGCATGCCATGTTCTAAAATTTCTCTTTCCTTCCAGTTTCTTCTTGTAATGTGACAAGAAAATTTATTAGAATATTGGGAAAAGATGGTGCCTGCCCTTCATTTTCTCCTTAACGTCTATTTGACTTTATCTTATATGAAGTTTTGGGTTAAAACTTATTTTCACCCTTAAACCTACTGAGAAACGTTAAATTGGTGCTTGAAGGTCTGAAAACAAACAGGAGAACTGAAAGGACATTTGAAGTAAAACTAAGAATAGCAAGAATAAAAGTCATATGATTCTGTTAATTTAGTTCTGGCAATTTACACTTGAACTGATGACCTCTGACTTAGTTGATTTCTTGTTTTCCTTTTTAAACTTATTTCTTAAATCCATGAGTTCTGCATGTTTTTGTTCTTCCAAATTTCTTTAGGCAAATTCATTATTGGTTTTTCCTTGACAAACTTCATATTTCTTTTGTGTCAAGGCAATATATGCTCCCTTGCAGACTAAAGTGGAATATTTTTCCATGTTATGCTCCATTTCAGGGTGGTGAAACTGATCAGCCTTGTGCTCGGCTTGTTAAACCTGGAGATCAGGGTAAGATCAATGTCAAATTTATCTAGAGCCAGTCATTCAAGGGGGAAAGAAGTTATTTGAGGAAAATATGCAGCCTGTCCACAACGTGCCAAGTGAAGGCTTACATGTTATATACCTAGATTTTGTCAGACTCTAGCTTTGCCACCTTCCCGTGGGTGTACAATTAACGTGCTGTAGCTTTAGGTGGTAAAACATTTTGGTTGAACCTTTGCCTAAAATATTAATTTAGAACATGAAAGCCATTCTGTAAAATACTGCCCAGTTTAATGATGACTCTTTTTACTTGAAAGCAAGAATAAATTAAGTAATCACTCATGTTGGGGGTTAAAAATTTACTTAGAAGTACCCTCTAATTTATTTAAGCTTAGCCAAACATGTTGCTTGGGCTTGGAAGGCTTATAGACTCGGCTAATCATGAAATATACTTTTAAGATGTCTTTTGGACATTTGAAATTCTCTTTTAACAGTATATCCCAGAGGGAAATAATGATTACAATATTGACAGTCCAATTTACTCATGGAAAGAAATCACATGGTAGTTATGCCACTGATCAATGTTATGGCCACCCCATTGCTTATTGGCCACTTTGCTAAATGTATACAACTTCTAGGTGTAAAACTTATCGTTTATTTGTCATTAAGATGGAAATTTTTTGCTATTCTTTCAGTATTCCTTTTTTCGTAAGTGGAACTTCTCGCTTTTTGGTTATTCCAATGTCTTTTGGTTTCCTTTCAGATATGAATTTGATTTGCTTGACATTCAGATTTTGGATAACTGATAAAACAGGTCACGAAACAGAGGCTGGTAAGGTGAAAGCTGCATCATCACCCAACATATCCCCCTCTTCTTGTAGTTCAGTCAAAACTTTAGAAGATTCAGAAGATAAGGGCAACGGAACAAGGGAGTTACATGAACTATATTTGAGAAACACTGTTCCGACAAAGGTGATGGACGCTCGAGAAACAAATTTCATCTTAGCTGGTGGGGGCAGTAGTACAAGGAAAACACATTCATCTGATACTAATTCTACTTCACATATTAGAGCGATTCTAGCTGAACCTACAACTGAAGTTGCCGAGGGGCACCCTCATCAACTGAAGAAGTACAGAGCTAGCGGAGGGATGACCTTAAATTCCATGCGCTCCCACAAATTGGAGGCAGGAATATTGGACTTGGAGGAACTTGTTAACAAAGTCAAATGGCTCAAGTCAATTTTAGAATGTGGGATCCCTTTGTCCAATGCTGCAAAGCCTCAATGGAAAGTTATGGAACACATTGCTTCCTCATCAATGTCAAAATAAATGCACTGGAAATGTAAGATTTCACACCTCTGGTTTTATAGATAAGGTAACTGAAGAAAAATCTGGGTTATGCCAGTGGAAACCATGAGTCCATGACAATCCAATTGAGCTTGCAATAGTTTTAATTTAAATATTTAAATAACTATCAACTATTTATAGCTTTCTCTCTATGTATCCAGTTGTGATCTTAATAGAATCATTAATATTTCTCTTGATGCTTGGCAGCTTTCTTGTTCGGAATGTAAGTTATGGGAAAAAGAGGGTTTAAATAGAGTTTTATTTTTCCTAGTTTCGATTACTTATGATTAACTAGGAGATTTTGATATTTGATAAGCTTGTGATTTATTAGAAAGTTTCCTGTTAATTAAACTCTATGCTCTAAAAAGGGAACCTAAGATTTGAGTGATTTTTCTATTATTCATATTGAATCTTATGTGGATTTTTTCTTCCTCCTAAATTCATATCCTCTTTTCCTCTGTCAAGTTGTGTATCAGTAAGCTATTTGTGTTGGTGTCATGAAATTTAGTCCTATCAAGTCAAATCCATTTCATCTGTGCTTGTACGAGTGCATTTGTACTTGAATGATCTCGAAATTAATGCCACACTACTCTTTTCAGGTTGCCACAAGGTTTTGGATATGCATGTTTAGCAGCTGTGTTTTGTGAGATGTCTTGAAAATCACGGCAATATGGAGTACTGATATGATTAGTAAGGGTGCTTTCTCGCCTGTTCTCTTTAGTATTTTCAAAATTTTGTACTTTCATCTTGAGGAACACGGTTCTCTAATATGAAGTGTTTGATGAATGTCCATAGTTTCAACTGTCTTGGAATTGTTGCTTGTGAGATGCTTTCGATCTGCTGCAGCAACTGATGGCTTATTTGCCTTGTTTGGTCCCCTGTCAAATTCTTTCCCACAGTTATATCACAGTTCTTGCTGCCTTATGGCGGTATACGTATGTACTATACTGTAGTCTCTTTATTTGTAAAGGCCAAGTTGATGTTGAAGTTTCTACTCCATTTTACTTGCTCCCACAAAGTTGTACAGTCTTGCCTTGTTGAATTTTAAGAGGATATTCGTACTGTTTCTCTGTTTCTGTAAGCCAATCTCTCTGGAGATTTTGATGAAAAGTAGCTGCCAGACTACAGAATTATGAAATGGAATATTTCATGGAATTAATCTACAGGTACAATCTTTGTGTCCATCTCTGATGACGTTCCAAAAGGTGTCAAAATCGAAATCATTGATTGTTTCAAGTGTTGGACAAATTAATGATAGAATTGTGTGTCGCATGATGGAATGTAAACAATAATGTCAATCAGAATGTAAGTGTGGCAAAACACTATTTAATATTGGTAAACTAAGTTGTTGCTTTATTTTATTAATTTTTTTGGTGTTTTATGTTCGTCACTCTTAAATTTTTGTTATGGCCTACATGTTTTTGAAATGAAAATGGGTGGAATAGTATTTTTTGAAAAATGAGTGATCGAAAAAGAATAAAAAGTTTTCAATTTACGTGTAATATTATTTTATGAAAGATTGTGTTATTGAATTTAGAGAAGAGAATTGAAATATAGTCCCCTTTTGATTTTCATTTTAGGTCACAAGAATGAAAAATATAATTGTTATTCATCACATCAAGTCGTCATATTTGACTTTCTATTTTTTGTGTGGGTTTCATAGCGTTTATATTTTTTATTTACATTCTTAAAAAAATAGGAATCAAACAGGATTATAATTTAATGGGAGGCCAATTAGGGCATGATTTCATCATTCTATTCATGTCCTTTAATATTCTAAAGAGGCATGTTGTTTGGCCTCAAAGCCACGGCCAAAAATAAGGGGTCCATGTGGCGGCCTCCAATTGGAGGGGTGTTTGTATGAAAGCTTGACAAACAATTTTTCCTTATTTTAGATGAATTATTCTTCTTGTACAATTGGGGTTGATAATGTACTCACAAGAAAGGGGCTCATGATTTTTTAATTCAACGCGGCTCCTCTTCCATCTGTCTAATTGTTAATCGGGGTTGACATAGCACATCTAATTCTAAATTGGCAACATGTAGCTAGCGCCTAAATGTTCAGCGACCAATGAGGTTTAGTTATTAATTGTCTAGGATGCTGCGTAGTTAACAGACAAGAAAATAAATTCCATTAATACCGCCTCACGTTTCTATAACTGAAAATAAATAAATAAAAAGCTTCAAACCCAAATATGTGCATGTTTGGCAAAGATTAAATTTATGTTTTGCCTCATGAAATGCTCGTGAATATTCAATCCATTTTTTATGAGAAAATTTCATAAATAAGAGATTAAGTATGACATATTTCAAGATTAAGAAAATAAGTTTCAAACTTCAAAAATAAAATTTTTATTAAAAATTATTTATTATTAAATCAATTAATTAATTATTTTATTAATTAAATATATTTAAATCACATATCTATATAATTTGGTCACAAATTAACAATTTAATTAATTACTTATTATTTTTTGGTCACAAATAAAAAATTTTATGTCAAAAATTATTTTATAATCACAATTCAAAAATTTTGTAGGTCACAGTTTGTTCATCGGTCACAAATAAAAAAAATTAATTAGTCACAAATTAATTTTTAGTCACAACTTATTTTTTGGTCACAAATCAAAAATTTTATAGGTCACGTTAATTTTCGGTCACGAATCAAAAATTTTATAGGTCACAAATTATTCATTAGTCACAAAATCAAAATTTTTATTGATCACAACTCATTTATTTATTGCAAATTATTAAATTAATTGGTTATGATTAATTTTCCAGTTACAACTTAATCAATTAGGAGTCACAGTTACAATTTTCAGGTCACGTATTACAAATTAACCAATTATTAGTCACAATCAATTAATAATTGGTCACAAACATTCAACTCCATCTCCTACTCACGACCACCACAACCACTATCATTATCACCATTACTGCCCCGCTACCTCCAAAATATGGAAGCCGCTGCCACCACCACTCCAACAACCAAAACCAATGCCTCACCACTATCAAACACCTGTACCACCACCGCACCACTGTCAACGCAGTAGAAAATTTGAAAAAAAATATGAACTGCACACCACCACCACCATCACCATCACCATCGCACCATACACCACCATCATCCCACCATACACTAACCGCAACCACCACCACCACCGCGCCACCACCACAAAAACTAAAATAACCGATAGTGAACCACAGAAGTAACCAAATCAATGTAAACCATAGATCCAAAACCACCACCACCATCGCCTCAGTCATCATCAACCAATAATCACCAAAAGAGAACACATCTAAACCCTAAGCAACCGTGTATTGTCGATAGCCGAATCACCCCCAAAAATCTTATCGCGACAGCCCCGTTCGTCACAGCCGTGTGTTGCCGCTACGTTACAGAGAGTGGAGAGAGTGATTGCAACTGTTTTCTTATGGGTGAAGTGCCGTCGAAAGGTTATTGAGAGTAGAGAATAGGCGATTGAGAGAAGAGAGGGAGGCAGGTGAGAAGAGAGGACCATCACCACAACGCCATCGCCAACACTTCCAACCGCCGGGGAAAGCTGCTGAGAGGTGGCGGTTAAGAGTGGGGGGGAGGGAGACGGGTGAGAAGAGAGAGGGGAAAAGATGGAGAGGCAATAATTATTTAGGGTTTGTAATAAAATTTGTATTATAATATTTAATATTTAAATATAAAACATCTGATTTTTGAAATATCAAATTTTCAATCTGATTTTAGAAGGTTGAATATTTAAAGTATGATTTTGTGTAATTTCCACATTTTTTATTTTAACATTTCGAAAGATCTATAAGTTTTATTTATTTATTTATTCATCACTCAACTCATCTATTTATAATTAAATCGTTTTTAAATGCTTTCCATACGCGCTTTTTAAGTTGGTCAAATATACAAAATCACACATTTTTTGAGATTTATAATATGCGGTATAACTTATTATTTACATATTCCTACAGCTCAATAATTATAAGGACTATGCATTCTTTAATATTGGAAGAGTAATGCTATTTATAATCGATCACTGATGTTAGTCGATGTAGCATCATACATAACAGTTTGTTATTTGATATATTAATGTTGCAGTTTTTTCTTACCTGATATATCAAATAATCAACCGCCACATATATATAACGTAAGACGATTGCGACATTGAATGACTGCAAATAGCATTATTCATATTGAAAAGTCTTGTATTTACTACCTCCATATGGACAAATTATGGATCTTTCTTGAGGTTTTCGATAATTTCAAAGACACCCTCACTTTTTTATTTGAAATTGTCTAATTCCCATATAACGTTTCGGAAACGAATATTTGTTAAAATAAAATAAAATCATAATTTTCCTGTCTGATATTCCAATCTTGCTACAAAAGTTATCTAAAAACAATTTTATTCAACAACACGTGGTTTAGCTTAAATACGATTTTCTCCGGGCATGGTTCCAAAATTAAAATCAAGTCAACGCCATTTGCACGGATATTGTGCGAGTTGTCAAGGAGCATGGTAAAAACATATTAGACATACGTTTGTAAAATTTATTCCGTTGGAGAAAAAACACATACATTTACTTAATTACGTCCATGTTTGTTTTGGCTAAAAATCGAGCTTTTAGTAAATTTTGATTAAAATTGATGACGTATGCAACTTAAAAATTATTGAAAATTGAACTGATATATATATATATTTATTTATTTATTTATTTATTTATTTATTTTTTCTTTTTTTTTTTTGGTAGCCTGATTTAATTTAATTTTATTATTATTATTTTTAATCAAATCCTGAATTCATCTTTAAAAAATTGCGAATCACATAAAATATAGGATTAAAAGTTATCTAAAAACAATTTTATTCAACAACACATGGTTTAGCATAAATACAATTTTCTCCGGGCATGGTTCCAAAATTAAAGTCAACTCAATGCCATTTGTATTGATGTTGCGAATCACATTAAAATTAATTAGTTTGATCGTCACTTATGTCCCACGTCATCATTGACAAAATGTCCGTAAATAAAATAGTTTGATCATCACTTATGTCCCACGTCATCATTGACAAAATGTCCGTAAATAAAATAGTTTGATCATCACTTATGTCCCACGTCATCATTGACAAAATGTCCGTAAATAAAATAGTTTGATCATCACTTATGTCCCACGTCATCATTGACAAAATGTCCGTAAATAAAATAGTTTGATCATCACTTATGTCCCACGTCATCATTGACAGATACAATCATGCTACACATCCAGATTTAAATTCAGATTAGACACGTGTCGACACATGATTGGACATTTTAAAATTTTAAAACAAAAACACCCTATCATTTGCTAACATACGTTTTTTGCTGACATCAATTTTTCTCCTCACTTTCCTATTTTTAAGCCTAGAAGAATAGCTTTATTCTGACGGATATTCCCTCTTTCGTGGCTAATCAATGCCAATTCCATCGTTAATCATCATGAGCTATTTGTCAATAGTTGTCGATGGACAACATTGTGACTGATACCTTATACACTATTTAAATATATATATTTTTCAAATTGTTAAAAATCGATGATAATAATTTAAAATATAACAAATAAATATAGAATTTTCCGTTACATGTACCCGACAGGGCTACAAATTCAGGGTGAAAAATAGACTTAAAAATATGGGTGACACATGTCGACAGTTTGAAAAGTTAAAACGAAAAACACACAACCATTTGCTGCAACCTCAATTTGCCTTCTCCTTTTTATCTCTAACTAATTGACTCTATTCAACATGTACCAATCTCGTTAAACAAATCACATCATCAACAGCTAGATTACGACATGTACAAGCATTCTATTGCACGAAATATTTTCCTATTATATTCTCATCATTTGTTTCTCACATTGTAATCTCCAACTCCAAGGAATCCAAATTATCCTTAAATTACAAACTAATAATAAACAATCTATAATTTTTTTATTGCAAAAGGTTTCGTAAGCCAAGTTCTCAAAGCAGATGAAACCAAAGTATACTGACAAGGCTGAACATTAAAATGTTCTAATAATTGTTTTCTAGCACTAAAGTAATCCTATATAAACATCAATCAAAATAATCAATTATACAGCAAAAAATTTCTCAAGAAACCATAATGGCTACCGGCGCTCTTCACGCAAGCTATGGTTTAACTG